TCAGAAACCATATCATTGTATATAAAAAAGGATAAAAACTAGGCCTAGGTAGATTCTGATAAAGCCCTTAATAAAGCTCTCATTCATCATCTGTTTTTAGTATTTAAGCAAGCTTATTGAATGAATATTTTCTAATCATATAAGTACAGTCACCTATTTGGTCAGAGACTTTAAAGTCATTGGGGCGTAATGAATTCAGCATTAAGGAAAATGATTGACTGTGACAACAAATTGTAGGAACACATTTGTTTCAGGAGAATAGAGTAAAGTTTAACTATTCAGATGACCCTTATCAGTTGAAGGACTTATTGAAGTCACTAAATTGATAACACTTACATAAATTTATCATTATGTAATAACTTGATAAAGAAAGACTCTCTATAAACATAGAGCAGAATTGTTAACTTTCCTGAAAAACGTGTTATAAAATAACTTATTTTTTATATGTATAATTAACTTCTGATTATGAAATAGATGTTGTAAGTATAATAGTTAAGTCTTTGGGAGGTGAAATTTAACATTATCAATAAAAATTAAAAGTAAATCTTAAACAAATTATTTATTTGTAACTATTCACATTTTGTCAATAAATTAAACAATTCAATCACAACAACTTTTGGTTATCACATCTTAGTGGTGGTAGGAGATGGCGGGAGAAGAGTATGAGACGTGGGCGAGAGGAGCAGCGTAGGAGACGGGAGCTGAGTAAGCTACCTTAGCTACGGGAGCAGCGTATGCTACTTTAGCGACGGGGGCGGCGTAGGAGATAGGGGCGGAGTAGGCTACTCTGGCGACAGGGGCGGCGTGGACGAGCTTGGCGACGGGAGCAGCATAGGCGATCTTAGCGGGGACTGGGGCCTGGATGGGTTGTCCTTCGTAACGTACGTTGGCGTTGAAACCGTTGTGTGCGTCAGAGCTGTACTCTACAATGCGGTGGACTCCGTCAGGTTGCACCAGCGAGTATGATCCGTGGACGACGTCTCCCTCACGGGACTCCTGCTGCTGCTTCACGTCCCCGCTGTGCTCGTCGTGCACAGAGTACTGGAACTCGTAGTGGGCGGGTGCTTCGGGCTCGGCGTACGCGTATTTGGCGACCGGCACCACGGGGAGGGCTGAGGCGACTGCGGCCAGAGCGAGGACGAAGAACAACTGGAATTAAATAAAGTAATTAAAAAAAAGACTAAAACTTTATATCCCATAACACTTTCATATGTTAACTAATATATTAATTTGATATATTATATCCATATAAGTATGTTAGTCAAGTTACCTTAGCGGCCATTGTAATGTATTGAGTGTCGAAGTGTGACTGTGCTTTCTTAATATCAACACGGGTTTTTATACTTGAATCTTATTCGACAAACGCACAAGGTGACAAACTGTCACCTCATATTTAAAAGTATAGAACGTGAATAAACTTGAACTCTCACGCATATCTTAAATTCTCATATAATATGAAATTTTATCAATGGACTTAACAAAAACACTTTTTTTAAGCAGACAGAATAGCCATCTATTTTGATAAACATTGTTTGTTAAAAATTTGTTTCAATTTCAATTTTCAACTCTGTCGCTGAAGAGTAATGTTATATCTATTTTTAATGAAAATGTACCATTAGGTATCGGAAACCAGATCTAAGATTTTCGACAGTATTTATTAAAATAAAACTAATAATTTCGGGATACTATACTTTTAATAAAAATGTCACTTTCATCTTGTTTGCCCGTGATCATGACTACTGCAAAATAACTGAATCCTTAAATATTACTTTTATTTAAGTATCAGAAATTCTGAGTACTTATTTCCACTAGTTCTTGTTGTAACTGATTCTGTTAGTTGTTCTTGTACTGTTAGTGGTAAGGTACTTATTGGTAAAACAAATAACAGGATCTATTGACAGACATTTTCATCTTGTCTATCCGTGATCTAAGGTGCTATAACATAGGTGCTAGTGACCGAAGCGTCGGGAGTATATAATCAAAATATATAACGATTAGTAAATCATAAAATATTACTTTTATTTAAGTATCAGAAACTCTGAGTCCTTACTTCTCCTCTATTAGAATTCTACTGTTAGTTGTTACAACCGATGTATATATCTAAACTCATAAGACGTTTGAGTTAATTATTCCTCAGAAATTCGTGAAAGCAAAATGAGAAGAAATCAGCAATTCTATAATTCAGTTTTCATTTAACATAAAATTATGTTTAATGACCTTTAATATTATGCAACAACAAGCCGTTCGTAAACTTCATGCTCTATCGTTGGGTCACTTAATTATTTTCTCAGAAATTTATATTATAACAAAATTACATCATAATTTTGCATATAAATCGCATTTAGTATTTTACAATTAAAATAAAAGCTCTCTTTAAATCGGCCGTAAAATTTTTTACCTCTTACTTAGATTCCGTAAGAAATTTTTACCTTCTCGCATTTGACCTTTAATTAAAAACTGCGAACGACCTTTCTTTCAAATACGGAGAGTATTGTTCTAGATTTAAGATATATGTTGTCATAATATTATAAAGACAAAAAGAATTATCGCTTGTAAGCTAACCTTAGAAACTAATGCAGGACTTAGGGTAAGTATTTCATATATTTTTCAAACATTATCTAAATTGTACTCTTCATCTTATAAGTAGTAAATTATAGTAGTAATATATACGTTATGTATAAATATTAAGTATTTTCTAGCACGATACGTGCAATTAAACGACAGGGGGCTAAAATTCTAAAGATTATTATATAAAATTATTAAATCCTTTACATTTCAGGACACAATCAGTTATGTTCGACAGTTTCATTTATTGCAATATATAAGCAAAATTTATACTCTGTATTAAAAGACAGCCAAATATTTAAAAAATCTGTTATCTTCGCCAATATTGCCTTTGATGTGACGCAAGTGTTTTTAACACAAGTTTTTATCATAAAAGTCACCAGAGAGATTAAAGGTTATTCAGTTTAAAGATTTTTGAATATAAAAATGGTCCTGTTCATCCATGATACTATCAAAATATAAATAATTTATTTTCATATACTAGTTTTTATTTAAAGCTTCAAAAAATCCTAAGTTCAAAACAGCATGACGATCTTTCTACAAATCAATACTATTGAACCCTCTGTTTACGATATTGAAAGAAAAGAGAATTTATTAATGATTAACGTACATGCTTTCTGTTGTTGGCTGTTAATGTCGCTTAGGCAGTTTAACATAACCTATTTAAAACGAGTATATAAAATAACACAAGTATATTATGATATGATATGATTATTATACATTATAATCTAAATGATTTATTGAGTGCAAAAACTTCTTAATCATTTTAGAATTTCCTCATGAGCTTTTCTAAAGGCTAATTGTTATACTATAAACTTTTATATTAGTCATGGAAGGTTATTAAAATTAATTCAGATCATAACTGAAACTATTAATCAAATAATAAACGCAGACAGATAGACAGGAATAGGAATATTATATCATTCTTCTTCTCTACCTGGCAATTTCCCAGCTATAGCCAGGGTCTGCCTTACATGTTGTGAATAGTTTTTGGTTATTTGTTTTTACGACCGGACCGCCTGCCTGACATCAACCCTCTTTTTGGGAATCAACATTAATGAGTGATGTCTAAATACTCTTAGAAAGTACATATGATTCGGAAAAATCACATTGGTACTTGCCCGGGCCAGGATCGAACCCGCGCCCTCGACGACGAGAGGCGGGCCCTTTAACCACTGAGCCACCACTGACTATATATCATTATTAGTTTAAATCATAACGTAGCATGTTTTTTATACAAAGATAATACGAGTACGAAATGAATACTCGAAAATTGAATAAAGCTTTTACACGGGTAGCGTCAGTTTCGTACCAACACATACAAGGAATTTTAGGTCTTTTTCTATTTATATGATAATTCTTATTCAACTGTTACTAGATATTTCAGTAGGAAGATGTTACGAAACTGTAAAAGTAAAGACTCATAGAATATAAGAAAATTATAAGAAAAATCTTGTAATATAAGTAAGAATTATGTATATTTCAATATTGTGTTATTAGACCAGTGCCGATAGCTTTTAAAACAATTAAATTATAGTAGAATGAAACTCATTAGAAAAGGAGGGGAATATTATATAATTTAAAGGAAAATTTATAATTTACGGGCGATCTGAGGTCGGGAAGGGTATGGGAAGGGTATACAAATTGAAAACATACGAAATTTTTGAAAATAGCTGATATTTTGACGGGTAATTTTTCGATTGAAAATGAGGCTGATTCTTAGGTATTTATTCAAAATAAGCTGAAAAAATAAACATTTCTCATCAAATAAATTACAGTGCATTTGTAACATAAAAAGGAAAGTTTTCACCAAATTTCGTGACAAAAAATTATTTTTTAAAAGAGATAAAAATAAAAAACCAAAAACTTGGTTTTTCGAATTTATCACATAAATTTTCAGGTTATGTGAAAAAAATGTTAGCACAAAAGTTGTAGATTTTTTTATTACCTACAACTTTGCCATACAACATTTTTCATTAGGACTCTTAGTTTTTCCGGAAATCGAGAAAACCCAATATTTACCCTTAAATACCCACGCCCGTACCCTTCCCGACCTCAGATCGCCCGTAAATTATTTTTCCCTTAATTTTTATAATATTCCCCTCCTTTTCTAATGGGTTTCATTCTACAATAATTTATTTTCACTTTTCATCATTTTTAGAGGCATCTGCACTGGCCTATATAGTTTCATTATATTCTTGGTCTATATTCTTGTGACTATTTGAAATATCCAGCAATAAATATGTAAAAAGAGGTTTCATGGTTTATGTACTATAGAATCTTACTGTTATTCAGAATTGCATTCATTTGTGACTTTTAAATATATTTGGTACACCAGTATAAAAGAAAAATCAAATGTAAGTCAAATAATTTATTTGTGAGTATTATTACTTTCAATAAATAGAACAATACGTTATAACTATAGTTATCACAGCTTAGTGGTGGTAGGAGATAGCGGGAGAAGAGAAGGAAACTTGAGCAAGAGGAGCAGCGTAGGCGACCTTTGCGACGGGAGCAGCGTAGGAGACGGGAGCTGAGTAAGCTACCTTAGCTACGGGAGCAGCGTATGCTACTTTAGCGACGGGGGCGGCGTAGGAGATAGGGGCGGAGTAGGCTACTCTGGCGACAGGGGCGGCGTGGACGAGCTTGGCGACGGGAGCAGCATAGGCGATCTTAGCGGGGACTGGGGCCTGGATGGGTTGTCCTTCGTAACGTACGTTGGCGTTGAAACCGTTGTGTGCGTCAGAGCTGTACTCTACAATGCGGTGGACTCCGTCAGGTTGCACCAGCGAGTATGATCCGTGGACGACGTCTCCCTCACGGGACTCCTGCTGCTGCTTCACGTCCCCGCTCTCATTGTCGTGGACAGAGTACTGGAACTCGTAATGAGCTGGTGCTTCAGCTTCGGCGTATGCCAGCTTGGCGACCGGCACCACTGGAAGGGCTGAGGCGGCTGCGGCCAGAGCGAAGATGATGACGAACTAAAAATAAATTGAAAATTACAAAAATGTTACGGTGGTAATTGACAAGATCTTCTGAACCTATTAAACAACAAATTATTATTATTATTATTTTCATGACGTATTATAATGGTAATTATAAATAAGTATAATCATACATAGATTAAAATCTTAAATTATACTACCTTAGAGAACATTGTGATTTTATTGAATGTCGGAATGAGACTGTAGCTACGTGTTGTCGCGATGCGTATTTATACCAAAATCATGAACAAGATGACAAATTTTTGCCCTCAAGCTATGGACAGTAATGTGACTAGTATAAGAACAAGTATATTATTTATTAATAAAACTAAATGTATTAATCTTGCCGATATTATTCCATATATTCCAATAACATTCTTTTATATTACATAACATTATTTAATCAAACTGCGTCCTCCTTACAAAATATTTGAGGATTTGATACAATTATTTAAATTATTCGGTAACATAACAAAGTAATGCACATTTATTAATTGATTGAAACATAAACATAAAACGTTGTACCAGACATAGGGTTAAGGTAAAATAAAAACATTTTTCAGTAATTCTAAAGTATTAAAAAATAAATGTATTAGTAATGACATAGTTGTATTTACCACTGGTGAATCTTAAATAAATAAATAATAGTTACTATAATGGTTTTAATCATTATTATATTGATACCCTGGAAGGTAAAGATTAATAATAATGGTTCAAGTGTATTTTTCTATATTTTAATGAATATTATTTGTTGCTAAACTGGTCTCATAATAAATTCTTTAATGTCAGCAGATATCTGTCAATTATGTCATATTAATTCAGAAATTAAAAAATACTTGCATTCTTTGTCATTTAATACTGCTGTTCAATTAAAAGTATATTGCTTTTAAGCTGAAGTTTATTATTTATTAACATTTAGGATGCCTATTGCATTTAGTAATTAAAGTTTCTTTATTGCGATATATCAGTAGAAAGAAATTACCGAAATAGTACGAGATTCGTCATCAAGAGATTCAACTAGTTTTTGCAAAGGCATTTGAAAGGTCGTTTATAATGTGTAAAGTACTACAAAAGTTAGATTTTGGCCTTTAATAAAAATCTAAATAAAGTTTTCAATAAAATATAAAAAACCTGACCTATGTTTTGAATTAATTTCCAAAAAAAATAATTATTACTATTATATCGCTAAAATAGAACAAAGTCGTGATTTCCTCTATTATGTTTAATATTACGTCATAATATTTAAATTGCCTACTTTTTGTCATCGACTTAATGCTCGTGAACTTCTTCATTGGGTTCAAAAAGGAATGTATAGTTTATTAAAATAATAGATATACTAATCAACTTACAAAGACATGTATACTTCATAGAGAGAACTCTGTTATAACGTGATTCTTCGTAAATTCAAAGGAAATTCTGTTATTCTTTTAATCTTATTCTGATGTCTAAGCTACGTTACCATAAAATTTGACCGACTTCCGATAAATATTTTTCTCTCTAAAAGGAAACAAGCTGTCGTCCATCCTCATAAACTTTCGCATTTATAATATGAGGAAGATTATCGTAATCATAAAATTTGATATAAAGTACCTTATCATGTAGGAACAACATAAATAATGAATGTTTAAAATATATTACTTGTACACCTTATCTTACATATCAAATTATGATTTGTAGCCTTAATGGTACAACTAGATATTTGCCAGCTGATTTTCGGTTCGATTGTGTCACCTCACTTCACCCGGCAAGTCGACCAAGGCATTCATGTAATCATTTATAATATGAATCGTGTCGATCTACTTACATGTGAATTCCAAGTAAAATGATGGCCTTCACCTCGAAAGCAATTGTAGGTTTTTAATTAGTAGGTGCACTAGAGTTCATTTTAGCTCACACTACCCGAGGCGATATGTGACCACGTCTGTTTTACATGATATAAAATAAGGAACGTTCGATCTATAGACACATTCACAGTTCGTCAATCACATCAAACACAATGGTATCTAAGGTAAATAAAGATTGTTTACAAAAAATATATATGTATCACATTTTAAAACATAACATAATGATAAAATAATTTTGTTCTTAGTTCGTCATCATCTTCGCTCTGGCCGCAGCCGCCTCAGCCCTCCCCGTGGTGCCGGTCGCCAAGTTGGCATACGCTGAAGCTGAAGCACCAGCTCATTACGAGTTCCAGTACTCTGTGCACGACGAGCACAGCGGGGACGTGAAGCAGCAGCAGGAGTCCCGTGAGGGAGACGTCGTCCACGGATCATACTCGCTGGTGCAACCTGACGGAGTCCACCGCATTGTAGAGTACAGCTCTGACGCACACAACGGTTTCAACGCCAACGTACGTTACGAAGGACAACCCATCCAGGCCCCAGTCCCCGCTAAGATCGCCTATGCTGCTCCCGTCGCCAAGCTCGTCCACGCCGCCCCTGTCGCCAGAGTAGCCTACTCCGCCCCTATCTCCTACGCCGCCCCCGTCGCTAAAGTAGCATACGCTGCTCCCGTAGCTAAGGTAGCTTACTCAGCTCCCGTCTCCTACGCTGCTCCTCTTGCTCAAGTTTCGTTCTCTTCTCCCGCCATCTCCTACCACCACTAATATAAAAAAAATCCTGATACCTGTTATTATTTATTAATGTTATATATGATTATGACTAAATAAAAAGTTATTACACATTTATTAGCATCATATCATTTTAATAACCCGATATTTTCATATAGCTTTAGCTTTATATTCCAAAATATAGCTCAATACAACATTGAACATACAAATCCTATATGAAGTCGATAATATCATTTTCATAACATACATATTGCATGTCACCTCACAAACTAACTGTGGGAGGGCCACGCAGGGGTAGCAGGTTGGGGGGGAGGCAGGTGACTCACCTGAATTATTCATAAAGCCGCATAGTGATTTCATCTCATTGAATCGAACTACCGTCGGCCGTGATTACGACAACGATATCTCCGGCCGACTGACAATACAGCTTGTCAACTATGAACTAAAATTGATAATCAACGACAAATTAGGTACTAGATCGATTGACAAATACATAAAGACGTTCCAATTTAATAATAACTTATAAGCGTATAATTAACAAACGAAACATTAAAAAGGGTTTGAAATATTCTTTTAAATTCTGTAATAGATTATTTATATTGTAATGGAAATAAAATGAATGTAGTTAATCAAAAATAATTAATTTATATGTAAAATATTAACAGATCTATATAATGTTTTTGTTACTACAAAGTACAGATATATTAATGGAAAGTTATTATCGAAGTTGATTTACGTATAGTGAGTCATGTTATTAATTTTGTAGTGTGATTTATATTATAAAATTATATTACCTTGTTGACATATTTTATTCAAATTACTGTCAGAAGTCAGTACATTTGGTACATCCCTACTAATATTATAAATGCAAAAGTAACTCCTTCTGTCTGTCTGTCTGTTACGCTTTAACGCCTAAAATACTAAACTGATTTTAATGAAATTTGGCACAGAGATAGAGTTGACCTTAAGAAAGAACATAGAATTGTTTTTATCCCAGACTGTTGAAAGGTTCTCTTGGAAATGCGATATAACCGAACTCCACGCGGGCGAAGCTGCGGGCGGAAAGCTAGTTTGGTATATTTGAAAAAAAAATGTTACTGTGAATTCAAATAATAAACTCGCTTGTTTAAAGTGAATCAAAGATTTTATAAGACCATACTAAAATCGACTCTAATACAATAAGAGATACAATATTAGTAATATTCTTTAAATGTGTAAATATTTAATACTATATAAATCGTTAACTTTGACCTTACCTGTATCTTTATGTCATTAATTCTTTATAAATTAGAATGTTCAATATATTGAATTCTGTTTGTCAAGTTTGTTGTTCATAAATGAGTGTAGGTTAAGTTTAACATTATATTCATATTGTTAAAACGAGTGAATAAACTCATAAAGTATTAACTTTGAGTTTAAACATTATCTACTAGTAGCCCTAAATAATGTATTGGTATTTGTGTCGACACAGCTTATTCCACATCTAAATATGGAATCAAAACCTCCCATAATATCAAATCACCACCTATAAAAGCTACATTCTATCCCGTATAATGGGAATCGGTAAAAATGTTTTAATAAATCAGTATTATTAAAACAATAAATCGATACAGCGAATATTAAACGCCGTTGGCAGGTAAAAATGAAGAGATTGCTTTTTATCTGCCTCAGCAAATTGAATGTAAAGTTGATTTCCCGACGGGCACCGCCGCATAATTCCCCACAAATTAAGCCGATACCGATTCACTTGCTACCAATGTAAATATTTTCGATAAATGCCTCCATTATATTTGTATGTTCTATTTGATAATGCTGCTCACAACAAATTTCATGTCCGCCGCAAATTTGCACATACTGATTTACAGATGAAGCTTGTACTCTGTTCGACATTATCATTTAATAACAACTTGTGTAAATGTACTTCAGTGATACGTAAACTATGTATTTATTCATAGCAAAGATTTTCTTGGAGTTTTGTACTTAAATGTCACTACTTCTTATTAATACTGAAAATCAAACTAAAGGCACTTTATTAATATTTAAGTCGTCAAAACAAATAGAAGTAAGTACCTACGTACAAGAACACGTGTTATTATAAAGATTATAATAAAATCATATCGTTTCCTTTACAAGCTTGTAAATACACAGATAAATACGAAATCTCTTCTCGCTGGCATTAGACGGGACTAATATGAAATATCAATAAAAGCCAAAATCCGCTTACCACAAAAATTAATCAAGAAACCCCGAAGCTTAGCGGGGGCGGTTTTCTCTCTTTGTACACAGAATCAATACTTGTATCGCCTAATCTAAAACTCGGTCGGACGCCAAAATGTAATCCATTTGATCTCTTCTATTCATTCAAAACATTTCTGTATTTACATCTCATTTAATGCTGTATATTATGAGTCTGTGACAATATTATTTAAAAATTGTGACGTTTAAAAATAAGTACCTACTGCGTAATAATTTTCAATTGAAATATTACGTAAATACGTAACCTAATACTGTCTTTAATTAAGTCTTTATATTAATGGATGCATATATTTATTTTGTATAATATATTTATTGTTATTGTTATTCAATATAATAATATCTGGTAACCGAGCTTTGCTCGGTACCTATTTAGGACTTTTAAGCATTTATTTTGAGTTTTTTTTATTTCGTGTAGGCATTTTTAAGTGAACACGTTAAGAAGACACAAAACAATATAAACCAAATCTGTTGTTGTGTCTTTTAACCCTTAACCACCTACCACCTATATTTGTATTTTACCACTTACGTGCGGTCACAGAGATCGCTCATAAATTTCTGCGATTATTTTGGGATCTATGATAAGAAAGTAAAGTTTAGTTAAATAAAATACATGGCCATAATTGCTCTATTTATGCGTCACAAATTAACAAAAGTAATTAAAATGTTTTATAAAAATGGAATAATATCTATGATATAAGGAATATGGCACCATAAATAACTGTACTAAGAAAATGGGATCTTTATTCTAAAATATTAAAATTTTACATTTTTTTTCTTATTTCTTTTAATTTGAATAAACTTAAAATAAAATCAAATATAAACACGAAACAAAAAAAAATTAAAAAAAATTGCAACGCCATAACTTTCACATTTTTTCGCAGCAGTAACAACACATTTTTTACAAAAATTCCAAAGAAATAGGTAGTTTATATACAAAACATAGGTAAGCCGTTTTGTGTTTCCTTTTTATATTATACGTTTTATATTTTGATTTCATTAGTCTAATATCATTACTTGTGTGTAGTAAAATTTAGTCCAAAATCTCATCTGTAAATAAGAGAGAATCTCCACATATCAAGTGGTCTAGTAGAATTATTAAAAATACTCATTTAGGTGGTTAAGGGTTAAACAATTGTTAAAAGCAATTAGCAAAAAGTAGTAATACTATTCGCCTATAGATGTCAGGAAGAGTCATATTTTAAACGCCTCCTTTTTGATACTAAATTTCAGCTACTACTTATATTAATTATTGCTCGCAGTTAGGTATTTTTAAAGCATTTTAGGTCCATTAGCTATATTATGATTATTAAGAGAAGATATAACTTTAAGACAATGTAGGTAATTGTTGTTTTTATCATGTTATGTGATTACATATCATTCGATCGTGAGTACTTTTGTATCCAGAATTACTATAAGTATACAAAATTTCGCCAAGTTTGACCGTTCACGTAACTCACGCAATGAAATTTGACGAGAAGAATAATTTGCGTCAAAGTAGTTGAGTACAAAAATAAATCATCAAACAATATTATTCTAAAATCAGACCAAAACATTCAGAGGCTATTGGGTCCATTAAAAAAATACTTTTCAGCTTTATAGCATCAGTATGAATAAAATATATTATCAATAATAATTAGTAAATTTTATATAGGAAAAAGTTTGTATAAGCCATAGGCAGTAACAAAATATTTAAGCAATAAAAAGGAAAATGCAATCATTATTTCACTTATACATTTCTTTAATAATAAAAATATATTTACAAAGATGCGTTTGTTTTAATAGATAATATAGATTATATTGTTTTTTAAGCAATATATTCCATAATATGTTACGTATTTTGTTGCTTCGGTATTGGAGTTTCATATATATTTATAGTTTTGTCTTTTCCCACCGAAAGTAGCTTTTTGCCGTCCGGTTTGAAAGCGAGATCCCACACCTGAAAATGAATAAAATCGTAGAATAAGTAAAATAGTCAAATAATATAAATACTATCCTATAAACAAAATTTCTACTATAGACAAGCCAATGAAACAAGATAAACTTTATAAATATACATATAAGGTATGTAATTTTTTTTTATACATATACATTTTGTAATTAATTTAAAGCCCTTAGAATTTTAGGAACTAAAAATACTAATTTATCTTCAGGTTTAAGACAAAATTTTTCAAAGTTTGTTTACATTTTTTATCATGTTTCATTGGACTTATATTATGATATTTAAATGTCTCACTATATCAGTGTGTTCTTGGAAGGTCTTTAATTGTTTCATGTTTGTGGTCGCGATGGTAACACTATCATCAGCCGCTACCACCCTAGTGCCATCTGGTGAGAAGCAAGCGCTTACTACCCAGGAACTTAGACTGAGCGAACTCACGAGATTGCCGCTAGCACTGTAATTAATGTCATATTAAAAATAAATACACATATAATATTATTTGGGCAGGTTACAGTATAATAGATATTCAACTATAATTGATAAAATTTAAATTCTATCATCCAAAAACAGGTGTTAGTATATCAATGAATATCTGAGAAGAATTATATACAATTTAATTATGTCCTAACAGATATGAAAGTAGGTTATGAAGTGTGAAAAAGCTACCATATATAAGTTCCGTTATTTGTATTTATATCGTCCAACTGATCATCCAACTGATCGTCCAACTGGTCGACCAACTGATCGTCCAACTGGTCGACCAACTGATCGACCAACTGATCGACCAACTGATCGACCAACTGGTCGTCCAACTGATCGTCCAACTGATCGTCCAACTGATCGACCAACTGATCGTCCAACTGATCGTCGAACTGATCGACCAACTGATCTATCAACTGATCGTCCAACTGGTCGACCAACTGATCGTCCAACTGGTCGACCAACTGATCGTCCAACTGATCGTCCAACTGGTCGACCAACTGATCGACCAACTGATCGTCCAACTGGTCGACCAACTGATCGTCCAACTGGTCGACCAACTGATCGTCCAACTGATCGTCCAACTGGTCGACCAACTGATCGACCAACTGATCGTCCAACTGGTCGTCCAACTGATCGTCCAACTGATCGTCCAACTGGTCGACCAACAGCTCTATCTCAATTTATAAAACGTATTGTTTCAGAAAATACTAAATTCCGACTCATATTAAATCCTGCATTAACATTTGATAAAATATTAAATTTTACTATCATTCTAATGTTTTCTATACTCACTAATTACACATATAATCTGCATATACACTGTATACACATACATAAAGATAAAAATGGTTTTTTAATTTTTATGGAATACCAACAAAATCCTACAACAAAATTATAAATTTGAAATACTATTACTCTTATACAAATGTCATACTAACACATCAAATATCTTGAGAGACCCGTCATTTGAGGCTGTCACTATAGAATTTGAATTCGGTGAAAATTTCACACTTCTAATGGTCTGTGTGTGAGCTTCGATAGTGTGGACCAACTTACACTGGACAACATCAAATATATAAACGACTCCATCAACAGATCCTGTGGCTATGTGCTTACCATTTGGACTCTGAAAATATAATTATTGAATAAATTAATTATTTCATACTTTTATATATATTCAAGAATGCCATAAATTGCTTTACAATAACATGACAAGTACAAAAATTTTGGAGAAAATTAGTGCTTGTTTTTTAAATTATAATCCCTTTTTAAAGCTTTAGAAGGTTAATAAATATGGTATTTCTACCTAATTATCCATCAGCCTTTTTAGATGATATAATATCATAGAAAATCTTAAAAACTAATTTAATAGTTTCAAATAATATATGAAACCTATACCTTAAAATCATGTACAGGAATTTATCAAAAAAATTGTAATCATGGGCATATATTATCATCTCGTCTTATATATCCAACAATTTTATTTAAATTCCAATCTTAATATAAACTGAATCTAAGTAGACAGATTTAAACTCACCCAATCAACAGACAAAGCAAATTTTCCTCTTGTATCCAAGATCTTATCAATACTATTATTGACTATATCATATATTGTAACCTTTCCAGTATGACTCCCCGACACAATCTTACTGCCATCAGGAGAAAATGCTATTTTCCATACATCTATTGAACCAGTCTGAATTTCATGCACTTTATTACCGCTGAGTAACTCCCAAATAATTAACATAGAATCTAAAGATGCTGATGCTATTGCTACAATATTAATACATATTATATTATTTACTTACAGATATAAATATTTAATTAACGTATAATATATTTTCAGATACTGAGATCTAAGATTTTCGCGAGTATTCATTTAAATGTAACTAATATTCTTTGGATGTAAACCATGATCATGGTTGCTGTAAAGTAGCCAAAAGGTTGGGAGTATGTAGTTTTTTTTATCAATAATCGCATAGTACATCCGAAATAATATTAGTTTCATATTTTCCGATGCTGCTAAATAAATTTTCATACAAAATTTAAACTTACTATGTCCATCGGGACTCACTGCAAGTGATACAACGGCCATACAATGTCCTTGTAAAGTATGAACTAACTCTAATCTGTTATTGTCCAGTTTCCAAACTTTTATCAGTGTGTCCAACCCACCAGTTACAATATAGTCCTTCGTTGGTCCGCTACAGAAATATTACTAATTAACATAAAAAATATACTCTGATTTTATAATTTTAAATAGTAATTACTTACTTCTCTCCACTTTTGACATTTGCCCACGAACAGCAGTAAATTGGATCATCGTGGGCATCCTCTTTTTTATTTAATAAAGAATACTGGAAGACAGAAAAAAATATTTTTTCATAATAGAAAATCTCATTATTGTATAGTTTCTTTACTTACAGCAGCTGCGGCTGGCATTTCTTTAATGTTCCGTATATAATCCTACCACAATGTTTTATAATAGTTTTCTTTGTAAATATTAATTGTATGGTTGTAACAGCTGTTAAATCATTGATTTTAATTACTATAAACTATACGTAAAATATTATAAGGAATACATTTGACACATAGAACAGCCGGTATGCCATCAAAGTCATAATATTTATAGTGACATGAATGTCGTTTAACATACTCGACAGTTATTCCGTTCAAAAATATTTATTTATATTACTATAAAAGCAGATTCGGGGGCGATAGATAGTTCTAATTATTTTTAGTAAATGTCATTTTATGAATAAAAACTAACAAAAAGGAGGCGTTTAAAATATGACTTTTCCTGACATCTATTGGCGAATAATAATACTATTAAAAAATAGCAAAAGCTAATTGCTTCAACGACACAACAGCAGATGGCGTTTTTATTAACAGGAAGTCAATAAGTGTTTAAGAAATTAATTATTGTTGATTTATATTGTTTTGTGTCTTCTTAACGTGTTCCCTCTAATTTTTAAAATGCCTATATGAAATAAAAAAAAAAAAAAAACAAAATAAATAACTAATAATTCCTAAATACCGCACAAAGCTCGGGGTCCAGATGTTGATAAAATTAATATAAGAAAAATACATTATTCTAACCAAGCCAACAAATGTTTTGTCTATTATCCTGCAAGATCATTTTTGCTGACGATGACCTATCACTCATATCTGTATTTCATAATGTGCCTTCGACACCATTTTTCAATATAAAATGTATTAGACACATAATTTGACAAAATTTTTATTTTAACATGAGTTGTAACGGTTGGTTTTTAAATTAAAAAAAATTATAAAGAATTCTTACATGAGAATAAAACAATATAATTAATTGATACATTTTATTTTACTATAAAGGACAGTCGTAAATATTAAGAGTCTTGTCTTCTGATATTGATATAATTTTATTACTTTCCGTATTGAACTTGACACCCCACACCTGAAAAAGACACAAAATAATGACACAAATATAGTAGATTTATATATTATTCTCAAACTTTATTATAAAAAACTTAAAACGTAATATTATTATACATATGTGTCTTCAAATTCAATACTTTTATCAGTATTATTTCATTGGTGTCCCATTACTTCTATTGCTTCCGACATAGAGCCAATAAATTTAAGTATCCACCATACAAAGACTCATATACTAATGAGAACTAACATTTTCGCGAGTATTTATTTAATTGAAACTAATATGTTTCGGATGTACTACGCGATCTTTATTTTTATCAAAAACTACATACTCCCGACGTTTCGGTTACTTTACAGCAACCGTGATCACGGGCAGACGAGATTAAAATTACTTCATTTATAGGTAAATTGCTATTCATAATCTTCTTTAACCTGGCAATTTCTCAGCTTTTAGCCAGGGTCTGCCTTACATGTTGTGAATAATTTTGGCTAATTCTTTTTTACGACCGGCCGCCTGCCTAACATCAACCCTCTCTGGGAATGCATTAATCAGTGATGTCTAAACACTCTTAGAAAGTACATATGATTCGAAAAAATCACATCGGTACTTGCCAGGATCGAACCAACGCTCTCATGCATGTGAGGCGGGCCTTTTAACTACTAGGCCACCACTGAATAAATTGCTATTTAGAATAAACAAGTAAAAATATGAAGTAAATACGAAATATAATAATCACCTGATCATTATGTTCCTTGAATACATGCTGGCATTGCATACTATCAAGATCCCAAACTCTGACTGTTCTATCTGAACTCCCTGATACAAAACGTTTACCGTCCGGAGAAAAAGCCACCGATAGCACCCATGAAGCATGGCCTGATAATGTACCAGCAAGATTTGCATGAACACTGCAAGTAATTATTAATATTAGTTTATTTATACAGGGTGACTGGTGAATTACTATCAATATTTAAGGAGCATACTCGGTACATGATTCTCATTCGAATTATGTAAAAAAAATAGGCACTTAATTTTTGACAAAATTTCCGTATAAATAAGTAAAATGTTGACACGTTCCAAGTGTTCAAGTGTGGACGCGTGCGGCGACGTGTTGATACAACACCACGTCACGACATGCGTATGTGTGAGTGTCAGTGTATACCTAATCTGTAGGGTGTTCACACGATGCGTAATTAATTACACAACTTTTGGTTAACTTTACTCAGAAGTTTATTAATATTTATGTTATATTAATTTTTATTTTGTCATATATGGTCGTCAAATATCACGTCCTCAAATATTGATAGTAATTCACCAGTCACCCTGTATAGTACATATGACACATATTAAAAAATAAATGAACATCGCCGGGCAACATCATTGTATGGATAATATATCATATAACGAGTGACGCTGCTGACTCTGCGGAACAAACACCAAGCCGTGTGAACCATAAGATTGCTGATATCACAGAAGCAATGAAATGGAATTGCTGTTCTAACATCGGGGCAATCATGTAGTATTAGGTATAGGTTGTAAGTTTTAATATGTAATAATATTGTAATAAGTTTTAATATATATATAAAAAAGTTTCAGTTTTCCTGGAATCTCTGGATAAATTTTATAATACTCATGGTGCAATATTTAGTTTTATTTGAAGATATTTTTGGTGTTTTAAACTAACATATAATATACAGGGTGACTGGTGAATTACTATCAATATTTAAGGAGAATACTCGGTACATGATTCTCATTCGAATTATGTAAAAAAAATAGGTACTTAATTTTTGACCAAATTTCCGTATAAATAAATAAAGAGTGGACACGTTCCAAGTGTTCCAAGTGTGGACGCGTGCGGCGACGTGTTGATACAACACCACGCCGCCGCACGCGTGTGTGTGTGTGTGTATATCTAATCTGAAGGGTGTCCACACGATGCGTAATTAATTACATAACTTTTGGTTAACTTTACTTAGAAGTTTATTAATATTTATGTATATTAATTTTTATTTTGTCATATATGCTCGTCAAATATCACGTCCTCAAGTATCGATAGTAATTCACCAGTCACCCTGTATATTATAATCGTCACAAATAATATTTCTCAAACATATATACATATTTTATATAATCGCTACAACTTTTCTGACATACATATCAAGTAACTCACACATCATAAAGCTTCATATGTCCATCGTCAGAGGCCGTCAACAGTAGCTGTGAATCGGGAGAGAAGCAGAGACTTCTGATCGGCATCGCATGACCTTCTAATGTATGCACCAACTTGCCTTGAGCCACATCAAATATATTGATGATACCATCTAATGCACCACTCGCTATGTATTTACCATCTGGACTCTGTAAATAGTGAATTGTTATAGGAAACTAGTTTATTTTGAAAATGTTAGTTAGTATAATTCTCAGGTTATACATTTACAATAGGATCTATGTACAAATTCCATCAATATGATGACTAGCATTTATACAACTGTATGTGTTTTTTGACCCTTTAATAGTTTACACTCTACCAATGCTTTTCTTATTTTGCAGTAACCACAATCATAAGTAAACCAAATGAAAGTATAGGTAATAGGTCAGTCAGTCATAGATTATAATCAATTATTTATATTGTTTATAAATTACTTTGTCAAGGACTAAGCTACTGTTTATTAATAACAATTTCACTGGTGGATTTTGCATTTTACTCGGTACACATATATTTTATAAAATTCTGTATTACAACTCAGGAGAAGATTGTCATATAAATAGTGTCTTTTAAATAAAAATGCAACTATTTATATGACTAACTAAGAATATCTCACATAGGCCACACTCAATGTGAATTTTCCTCTTGTGTCCAGGGTTTGTTCCTGTTTGCCGCTCTCTACTCCAAATATGATGACTTTCCCGGCATTGCTTCCCGAGATCACATGTTTGCCGTCCGGAGAAAAGTCCAACGTCCAAACATCTGTTGTACCTGTTTCCATAGTTTTTAATTTCTCTCCAGACTCTATATCCCATAGAATTAGTGATGAATCTAAAGAACTACTTGCTAATGCTGGAACATACAAAAAAATACTTTATTTATGCAAACTATATAGATTTTTACCATATAAGTAATGTGAAATAATGTATACATTATATTTTATTACTATAATGAGTGTACATAAAAATAGGTTTTTATTTAAGTAGGAAATAAATAAAACCTTTCTGTTAATTGTAACTTAAAACTCACTCTTCCCATCAGGACTAACAGCGACAGAGATTACACCCAGAGAATGTCCTTCTAATTGATGTTTAACTTCTAGTTTTCCATTATCTAGCTGCCAAATTTTAATAATATCGTCAAGTCCACCTGTTATTATGTAATTCTCTGGTGGTGGTGCTTCTTCAGAGTGATTTGAATCCCTGGAAATATAAATCAGTAATGAGCATACTCACTATAACTCTTACTGCAATTTAGCAGCTATCAATATTTTTATTAACTCGTGTATAAGTTTTTTCGAAATAACACTTACTAGACCATTTATTAAATAAAAAATCTATTTAATACAAAAAACGTAGCTCATTTCATAGTAATAAAACTGAATATGTTATAAGCAAGCAGAGGTTAGAAACATACTGTGTATTTTCTACATTTTCGTTATTTTCTTCGACGGTTTTCTTTTTTTCTTTACATATTTGGCTCCAACTACAGCACCAAATAGCATCCTCATGTGCATTCTCTTTTTTGAGTTGTAAATAATACTAAAAGCACAAAAAGACTGTTTTGTAATTTGTAAACATATTGCGGTGTCGTTTAACCATCGAAAATATTTTACCAGAGTTGTTATAGACATCGCACCACTTATAAACACTCGTTATCAATCAAACTTGTCACTTAAGATAATTAATTATTATAAATATAAAACACTTTTAATTAAAAGTACTTAAACCGATTTCTATATTTTGCCGAATATTGAAACTTAAGTAATTTGACAGTTAGAAAGTCAGTATTACAAGTTTCAATACATTTATCTAATAATATTTTATTATAATACTTTTATTATAAAACTTTTTTTATAATTTTTTTTTTGAAAATTTTCAAAATTATGATTACTAATAACAAAACATATAGATATTTCCATATTTATTTAAATATAGTTTATGAAAGTTTAAAATAAATTTAAACGACTTGTTATTCACTAAATAGGTTGATTTGTTTTTTTTATCGTGATATTATAATCCTAATTAAATTTTCTTAATGTTACTAAATTATTACATTGTTTTATTTATTAGTTGGCTTAAATAAAACGGTAAGTAATTTTTTTATAATCTATGAACTATAGATACAAACATAGACTATGTTGCATCAACTCTATAGTCTATTTCTCTCTGAAGTCTGATATCGTCATTACTCACTATCGTTTTACGTTAATTGTTGAATAACTAAATGTTTTGGTGTAATGAGATATTGAAATTAAGGAATATTAGTAGCGTGTCAATAACTTATTTATACTTATGACAGCGTATGTTCTATTTAACCTCATGGTATCAATTGTATAGCTGATAACTTATATAGTTGTGATGGCTGTGTCGAAGTCTACGAATACGTACAATCGTCAGAATTGGGAAGATTCCGTAAGTTTTCCGTCTATAATTTAATCGTTTATGCGTAATTGTTTGAAATATAAATTGTCTATTTTTTTCAGGATTTCCCGATTTTATGTCAAACATGCCTTGGTGATAACCCCTATATTCGAATGGTAAGCATTTGGACTCCTCTATTGTATGTTAATGTATATATATATGTGGTTTTCAGTTGTTCACCTTTGTTTTTAGCTAGATTAAAGCCCTTAACATATTACATTTGCTAATTTCTCCTAATAATAAATATATAACATTTACTAATAATTGGGTACTATATATGGTATATTACTGTTATTCACGTTGTCTTTTTACGTCTTAATTTGGTAATATGCCTATATTTTACACCTAAATTGAAACTAACAGTTATATTTTCATGCTATACAATTTTTTTTCCAGACTAAAGAGAAATATGGCAAGGAGTGCAAGATCTGTGTACGCCCTTTCACCGTATTTAGATGGTGTCCGGGAGCAAGAATGCGTTTCAAGAAAACAGAAATATGTCAAACGTGTTCAAAATTGAAGAATGTATGCCAAACATGTCTCTTAGATCTTGAATATGGATTACCGATACAAGTCAGGGATGCTGCTCTTAAAATACAGGACGATCTGCCTCGTAATGAGGTCAATAAAGAATATTATATCCAGAATTTAGATAGTCAAATGTCTAAATTTGATCCGAGCCAGCCGAGCAATTCGGCTCTGAAATCTAAGGGTGCATCGGATCTATTGATGCGGTTAGCAAGGACAGCTCCGTATTACAAGCGTAATAGACCTCATGTATGTTCGTTTTGGGTCAAAGGAGAGTGTAGGAGAGGTGAGGAGTGTCCATACAGACATGAGAAACCAACAGATCCTGACGACCCCTTGGCTGATCAAAATATTAAGGATAGGTATGAAATTCCATATAATACGTTTATTTATTAATATGGTAAACTTAAAACCTACAAAATGTGAACCATTGTAAGGGCTAATTTTGTAGTTTTACGCAGTAAAGCAGTAATAACACTTTGTGATTTAAAAAAATATGTTTTAGAGATATAATTCATTAATTGAATTCTTTTACACATCAAAAATTTATACAAAATTATAAACTGACAATAAAGTGTTAGTAATGTAGTAGTTACTAGTTATATTTGCTTGGTATTGTTAAATAATATGATTTCAAGTGTAATGTAGATAGATCACTTTATTATATTATTTTCAGTCATTTAGTCTTGCTACTTAGCAAAATACATACATGACAAATTCATTACAGTTTTATTGAATACTTAGTTACAACTTAACAACTTTGACGTTGAAGGAAAACATCTTGAGGAAACCTGAAGTTATAATTTCAAATTATAAGTTGGGTGTCACCAACCCGTCTTTATAAAGTGTGGTGATTAATGCTCAAATCTTCTCCATGTGAGAAGAGGCCTTTGCTTTAATAGGCCGGTGATGATTATTAATGAATACTATTGTTATCTAAATATAATTCACCTGTTTTCAGATACTACGGTGTAAATGATCCCGTGGCTGAGAAGTTGATGCGTCGTGCTGCGGCCATGCCAGCGCTGCCTCCTCCCGAAGACAGAACGGTCACTACATTATACATTGGCAACCTGCCGGAGAATATTACTGAAGAGGAATTAAGAGGCCACTTCTATCAGTATGGTGAAATAAGGTACATATATAATATAACTTAATAGCATTGAATAAATATTAGCAATGAAAACAGGAAGGGGTAGAAATTGATTTTGAAGGAATTTTGAATAATTTTTTTATTAGTAACTTTATTACTATTGATAACAACTCACAATTGACTGGCCGCAAGCATTCAAATGGCATGTATGAACTCTTGCCCCATCTCTATTTATTCCTCTTCCCCTACGAGCGTTAAACGTTTAACGCAACATTGGTGGAAGTTGCATAAGAAATTTCACTTAAATAATATACATATAATCCCACTTACCTTATACAACATGTATATATCCAGATGTATTTATTTCTTAACATAATTAAATATGACATATGCATAATCTTTTTAAAATAATAACATTAATACAAATAATTATTTAGTAATCCTTCTTAAATTATATAATGTGATCATATATTTATTTCTACATATTTAACTATAATATATAAATCTGTAAAATTCATTATAAATGTCCATATTTTCTACAATGAATATTCTTTATCCATATAGTTTTTTCATCTACAAATTATATTCATTTAATTTCTTAATTTATTTGTGTAATACATTATACTTATATACAATTACAGGTCATTGACTCTAGTCCCGAGGGCTCAATGTGCATTTGTTCAATATACTACTCGGAGTGCGGCCGAGCATGCAGCTGAGAAAACCTTCAATAGGTTGGTGATAGCTGGCAGGAGACTCGCCATCAAGTGGGGAAAATCACAAGGTGAGGATTAAATTTCATGTATTATTTATTTTTAGTTACACTAGCTGACCCAGCAAACTTTGTTTTGCCATATAAATAAATAGGGTTGGTGATTAAAAAGAAAAAATTAAGGGTGAACAACCTTTATGACTTAGGGGTATGAAAAATAGATGTTCTGTGATGGGCAGCAGTTGTTCACCCAGCTGGATCGGCTTCTGCGGTTGTTTTGTGGCAGCAGCCTCTTTAAATCTATCACCGAGGTGTTTAATTTCCGACTTCAACGCGTCAAGCTTCTTTTCTATGTTCTCGACCAACTGCGTTGGTTGAGGTGGTGGTTTATTATTTTCCTTCTCCAGGTTTTTCCTTATGTTGTTTGTAATGGTATCTAAGTTGGACATACCTTTGCGGAGCTCATCAATCTGGTTCCGTGTATCTGATGTAATTCTTATGACGGTACCGATGTCGGTTTTGACGAGCTCCCATTGTTGGTCGCTGGAGGTACTGTGGCACTTCTTGGTGGAGGGGTCAATGAGTTTTGTTACTTTGTTGGCTATCTCGTTCGTCAGTCTGGCTATCTTTGATCTGTATGTGAGGGTCCCGTGTTTCGAACTCTAGCCATTTCCTTATGTTCGTTGTTTCCTTGAGGTTTGTGGCTAGTGTTTCCCTCGTACTCCTCATTTCGGCGGTAATTTCTTCTAAGCTCTTTGAGTGGGCCCTTTCCAGTCGCGCAAGCTCCTGCGCGTGGCGCGATCTGTCTTTTTCCAGATTATTTTTATGTCTTGATCTGGAATCAGAGATGGATAGTACAATCTCGTAAACGGCCTGCATACTTTCAAGGGCTGTTGTTTTGAGCTCTTTTTTGATATTTGTCGCCTGATCCAGAGCTTCTTTACCGTTCAGGAGTAAGGTGTTAGCCTCCTTAGTAGCAGCGTCCATCTCTACTCCTCTGCCTCTCTTGGTGGTGAATAGCAGGCTTTTTCTCCCCTTTCTCTGCAATGGGACTGTGTCATTGTCGGGGAAATAAGATGGAATGGAGCCCACCGAGCTGTCGCTATCCTCCGAGGCCGGATCTCGTCCTGTGTTTTCGGGGGATTGTGCGTCCTGGTTAACGCTGTCTATGACAGAGCTGGCGGATGAAGAGGGCGAGGGCGTCGCTGCTTCGGTGTTTTGTCTCGATTCTGGAGTCAGGACGGGGCTGTCGCCGGGGACTCGTGCTAGGTCTTCCTCTCCTTGGAGGTTTCTCGTCGCTGTTTGGTAAGGACCTTCTGCCTTAAAGTCCTCTGTTTTGTTGGTGTTAGTGCTGTTTTGGTAGATGTTTGTTTAACAGTCTTAATAACAGGTTTCCTTGCCGGTTTTTGGCTGGTTGAGGTGGATGGAGCAGATGTTGGCGCCAACTTTAGTTCTTGGGATCGATCGGCCATTTTTATCAGGTACTCACCAGCTGTCCTGGATAGATGACTACGAGCCCCCTGGTTTTCAGGAAAAATTATATCTCCCGGACCGCGCTCCAGAATAATCTGACAATTTCAGGGAATGTGCTTCTCACTATTCCTGATATAATTATCAAATAAAATCTGGGGGTCGTCGATCTCCTTTTTGATCTGCGGCGGTTTTTAGATTTGTAATTTTAAGGTTATTCCTGTTTTCTCCCGTAACTCTTCACAGGATCTCTTCACCGAGGATCTTGAGGTGTCTTTAGTTTTGTCTTGTTGGTGGCTATAATATTATGATGTTTAATGCAGCCGCACGCTGCCGGATCAAAGACCGCGTGCCACGTAGTTTCCGGAAAATGACTGTTTCTCCCTAGATTCTTCCCGGAAAATTCTTCCAGATGTGTCGGAAGATGTGCCTCATTGTAACACGTGATATGGCGGTATAAAAAGTGTAGGTCGTCGATCGCTTTTCTGAGTTTTTTGGAGATAAAAGTTCCAAATTTTTTAAATTCCCGGTTTTTCTGGAATTACTCTTTGGATTTTCCGACTTTTCACTTAAAACTTTCACCAAAACACAGAGGGCACTGAGCCGCGCATGTGGACACTAATTTTACTTAAATTGATTAACTTTTGCCACTTTTATGAATTTTTAACTGAGAGCGTTTCAATTTAGATGCGTTCGCGACGGCGGTGACCTAGTTTTTTTTTTAGAGAGAGAGAGATTATACATATTATATTACACTAGAAGACCCAGCGAACTTCGTATCGCCCTATAATCAAGAGATATCTGTTACTTTTTTTTTATTTATATTTTTGGAGTTTACCTATTAAAGCCATAAATCTCCGTGTTTTGAAGTGCGACAGAATGATTGACATATTACTTAGTTATCAAATCTTATGTCAAGAAACATTTGTATCAGCAACTACTAATAAATTAAAAATAAATTAAAAAAACATTGTCCAGCGGGCAAAATTGTGAATCTAAACAATTCCCAGATCCCCTTGAACACACACAAAATATTTCATCAAAATCGGTCCAGTAGTTTGAGAGAAGTTCAGTGACATACACACTTACAGAAGAATTGTATATAGAAAGATTACATATATTAATATAAAAATGTATACAGGTCGACAAGGTCCATCGGAGGCTATCGAGGCAGGTGTTCCATTAGAGCCAGTCCCTGGTCTGCCGGCTGCTCTGCCACCGCCACCTGCCTTCCTACATCCCTTCCCACCACAGGTATGTATGAATATTTAAATTATATATAATATATATTAACTTTTCCCCTGAAGTTACCTGAAATATTGTTCTTTGTTTTATTTAGTTGAATTAATATTAAAAGAATTTTTAAACAAAAAATGTATATCTACTCGGATAAAAGTAAAGAAAGGTAATTTTGGTACATTAGTATTCATATACATTTTTTAACAAGCGTTTATGTATATATGAATGTAAAACAGACATACCAATATCATTCAATTATAAAAAACTAGCTGCTTCCCGCGGTGTTACCCGCGGATTTCCGACATTTCCGAGATTTCCGGGATGTAAAGTAGCCTATGTGTTATTCCTTGACGTCAGCTTCCTGTATACAAAATTTTATCAAATCACATACATAAAAACAAACACACACACACTCACAAACTTTCGCAATTATAATATTAGCAGGATGATGTTTAAGGATAAAATGAAACATTAAAAATTGATAGATCTCAATCTTATATGATAATATATATTTAGGATTCTAACAAAATCCTTATAAAAATATAGTTTTCTTAAAAAGCCAGTACTTTTAAATAACAATAAAACCTTAACTAATTATTATTATCTTAAGCCAAAACACCTTAACCTTAAGAGAACCAGCCAAGCGTCATAGCTTTAATATCACTTCGGATGCGTTCGGGAATTTAAAGGTTCGGTTCAAATAAAAAGTGTGTTTCCTAAATATATAATATAATCAACAGATGCCGCCGCCGCCGAATCGTCCGAACGACTTCTTCAATCTTCATCATTACGGAGGTCCTCGGGCCTGGGCGTGGCCCCCCCCTGGGCCTCCCCCCTCCGCGCCCCTTCACTACCCCAGTCAGGACCCATCGAGACTGGGGCATGCTCACTCTGCTACACCACAGACATAATAAATGATTTTCCCCCCCATCAAAATGTTCTTTTTATTGACTTGTATACAAAGAAATATACCAGAGACAATAAATATCAATCAATTCACTTAATTTCGTGCTCCAGTACCTAAGTGAGGTGATACGTAAAAAAAATATCTTGTCTATGGTCAGCTTGGTCTTATATCTCCAGACAAAAACTCCATAGATAATAAATATGTTTTCATCTCAATAGTTCTTTTGTGGGCATTACACATACGTGAGAATGTTACATCAAAGATAACCGTAGGTTTAACTGATTGTTATTTTTTTATATTTCCTGTAAAATGTGATTATTTCAGACATTAAATATTGTGAATATAAATAGTATAAATTGTTTTTATCAACGAAAATCACTCCCTATTATGAAAGAATTGTGCTTAGTACTTAACTATTTGATACTTTGATCTTAGAACATTAAATTGTTACTGATTGTTGGGTACAAGGCATTACATTGTAATACGGGTCAAAAGTTATTTTTACGACGCAGATTAAATAATAATGTACATAATGAAGAATGAATTTATAATTTTTAATTCAAATTAAAACTGATCTTACATCCTTTTTTATTTTATTCGAACCTAAAATGGCCCGTATTTTATGATTTAGCTTCGTAATGAAATATGGCTTAGAATACAAATTATTAAAATATATTTGAATTTTAAATATAGTATAAATAGTATATAAAAGGCTCATTCGGTGACCTTACAAATGTTATTAATTCATAAATATTTATTATGAAATATATTTTAGTGGCATTGAAAAATTGGCGCCAACAATAATGGCATTAAAAACGTTAAATATGGGAACATTTAATCGACGTAGTAACAATCATTTTAAGCGCATTTCAACCTCGTATAAAACTTTATTAATGTTTAGATAATATTTTTAACATATACTGTGATATTTTATATATAATGTTAACGTATATCTTATATACTAATAGCAGCATTAAATCGTTTTATTTAAAGCTATAAAAATACGGCCATCCATTTCACACGTCATATTTACTTTGTATGTGTTGCCATAAAGATTTATTAATACATTATTTTATAGCTACTTGAACTCATAATATTTTAAGAGACATCTGGATTCAAATACTATTATTATCACCAGTAAGAACGCCTAGTTTTTTTCGACTTGTATGTTGCTGTTAACCCTTTGACAGCGTCACTGGAAGGGGACATATGTAGTATTAACAGTTTTTTATTCAAAATTCCTAAATTATAATATTATTATTTGAATGAGAACGATAAATGAGAGGATTATTGAATAAGAAATAGAATACGCGTTGTATGTAGTGCCGCTATGCAAAATTTGTGCAAAGTATACAATTTCAAATAAATATTTTAATCGATATCTAACATTTCAAGTATCACAAAACAATTTATTAATAGTTCCATCGCACCATGGATTTTGGTCACAAATAAAGTTAATTAATAACAATCTTATTTCAGAAAAATGCCACATAATTCCGTGTTAGGTATTAGTTATTTTATTATTAAAGGTCCTCAATGAAGACAGATTTCATTTGAAAAGGCTTGTCTCTATTTAAGATATGAAATACGGATAATATTTTTCCATATTTTACAGATCCCAGTACAGTGTAAGATAATTTAATTTATATTATCGAAATAGCAGAATTTTAAAACAAAATATTATAAAAGATGTACGTGACATAATAAACAAATTCTTTTTAAAGTAGACAGAAGAGATATATACCTAATAGTATAATTTGATGTTGTAATGCATCTATCTAAAGGCACTTCACGGCCGTACAATACTTTTCTCTAAATACATAGTTAGGGTCATTTTCGGCCTCCTATAAATTTGTTGTGAATAAAACTAGAAGCAACAAAGCTAAAGAAAATATTGTTATTAAAAACACGGTATATTTGAAATTACATTCAATTTGAATCAATATTTTAATAATTATAACAAGTCAAAGTTTTATTTTGTTTAATTTTCACAATTGAGCGATCATTAAAACTCTAAGGCACTTTAAGTATATTACATAGAAGTTAAGAAGTTCCAAATTTTTAATACAATTAGGCTTTAGTCTATGAATGAAGGAAAACACAAATTATTTCGTTATTTCCTTCCAGTTTTCTAGATACACTATAAATGTGTGTAGCGCGTATTAGCTTATTCTATTAGCCATAGAGACTAGAGAGGGATTTTAGAAATGTATTCGTTGATGTTACTTGAGAAGTTGAAGGTCCTGGAAAAGAAAGAAAGGAGGTTTATTTACAAAAAGAAGTGAGCTGCCATCTTAAATAAAATTTGTAAAAAATATAGTTCCGCAACACAGTTCATCTACCGTAAAAAGTGTTATGACATCTATGAAATATCAACTTGGTTGATTTAAATGTTCTCTGCTTAAGGGACCATCTCTTTTAATTAACAAAGTAATTAGCACATCTAACAACATCTTATAGTGGACACATTAATAATAAGAATCTTTTTTAAATAAAATAGATTGACTTGCCAGAACATTGTCATCAAAAACTAAATTTGTGAAAACAATTTTGAAATAGAATGAAACAATCTTAATTACTATAGTAAGTATGTAGTGGTTGTTACTAACTTGTTAGTAATATTGTGTTTTCATGTGATTGCCGAGTAAATTTTTTTTATTATTATTTTGATCACTAAAAATGTTATTATATTACAAAAAACGTTCTAACTAAAGAATCAAGACTTTTTTTCGATTCCTGCTTAAAGGTCTTTTAAGCAGGAATCGAATAAATCAAGCGACTTGGAATTGCATACAATTTAGAATTTTTTACAGTAGAAGATATGTGTTGAGAGAAAATTTTTACAAGTTTTGTTTCTATATATTGGTATTATATTGGTAATCCAATAAATGAGTTCAGTTCAAAATATTTATTACAAACAATATGACTGGGAAAAACTTCCAAACTATATTAAACAATGGAGTGCATATTGATGGTATTAATAATTTAATGATACATATATATTAAGTAGATGCTTAATAAATTACTCCCTTATGTTCAGATTTCAACATATTTTCGGTATAATCTGTATACAAGAAGTATAAGGCCTCGGCCTCGAATTTTGCGGGCAGCGGAGCGGCAGCGGGAGCGGCAAGATCATACGCGTATAATCAAATGGACCGACCCTCGAATACAGCGGTGCAGGAACAGGGCGGGTGCGGGCAACGAGCGGTGCACGGGTGAACTCCAGTCAAGCGGTGACCGCCCGCGTTGCGCGTCTGCATTGTAGTGTTGTAATTTTTTTTTGTGACGTATCAAAATGTATTCGGACGTGCAAGAGCAAATTATTTCGGCAATCTTTGAGAGGACACCCTTATGGAACAGCAAAGATGTGAACCATAAAAATAGAAGATGAATTAACCAATTATGGGAAGAAATAAAAAACGAACTGAATATTGAAGGTAAATATAATAATGATTTATTATGTCAAATACAATATTTATTATCTTTTACAAATTAATTAGTAACTAATGCGATTATTTACAAAATATTCTTTGAATTTTTCACGTGTAAGCAATTTGTAATTGTAAACAAAAGAACAAATTTCTTAGAAAGTTCGGTATTACTGTCGAGTTTATTGCGGGTTAGGATAACAAAGCGACAAAAGAGCGTACACAGCTGCGCAGTTTTTACTAATTTTAGCCACTTAAAAGGTATTTTTTATTACTTAATTGTTGTCGTTATATAGAGTTTACACTGATTTACTAAATTAGTGCAACACAATTTCTAAAAGATATAGATCTAAATCGTTTTGAATTAATTCCAGACTCTCAATCACTCTTGATAGTTTCAAGAATATAGTCAAATGTTTCTACACTCATTCTGGTGTAGTCTTAGAATCTGTCGGGATTTTGTCTCTATTCTTCATAGTTTCGATAAAACTCGCCATTTATTTTCCTTGCCCTATAGTAGGGATCCACTTCTTCTTTTGCCCACAATAAATCGAGCATTAGGAATGATTTCGAATCATAAAGATGTCGCCGTTTTTCAGACATTTCGTTCGCGAATAAAACAAATATGTATCTCGACAACACGACCACGAACACAACACTACACCGCTATAGTGCCGCGCGATCTGCCCGCTAGTTTCGAGAACAGGTATGCGTTGCCCGCCCCCTTGGCGCGCCGCTGCCGCTGCCGCGCCGCTACCCGCGAGATTCGAGGCCGAGGCCTAAGTCACTCTCAGTGGCGGCTGGTGGGTTATCGAACTGGTGGTGCACTTTACTAAAATATTAAAATTAGAAAATGCAACAAAAATAAATTGAGATAAAATATGTTTATTTTTTATACATTAATAAATGCAACGACATTTTTCCGAAGCGAAATATATTTATTAAAATCGGGTATTGTTTGTATATATTTTTTTATTCAATACTAAGCACAGAAAGTGCATTTAGCAACTGCAAGGTATTTCGGAGAAAAGTTTTGATTCTTTTCGATTCCAATTCGTCATACATCGGGTGCTCTCGGTAATCTTCGGCCGCTCGTGCGGCGCTCGAGAACCGACTCATCACTCGGTACATTTCTATGAACTATGTTTTGTTTCACGCGTCAGGCGTATTTATTCGTATCTCATACAAGATGTATTAGGAGTCCTCGTGCACTCGCCGAAGCGCACGAGATATTAGTTTAGTAAAGCGCTCAAACTTTTTGACTATAATTAGAAATTTAATTTTTTATACGTTTTTGTATGTTTAGAAAATAAATATTAAAGTGGTAATTTAAAAATAAAGATGAAGTAATATTTTGTAATTTTTAAATCTTTTGAATTGGTGGTTCAGCGCACGAGTGCACTTAAGGTACAGCCGCCACTGGTCACTCTCCAAACATCTTTTCTTTGGCGCTGCTCTGACGTCTATCTGCCAATAATAATAATCATAATATAATTCTATTCTTCATACAAAATCAATAACCTCTCTTTTGTTCAAAGTTACTGTCACTGTCAATTAAACATGCTTCTACAGA